ACTCTTATTCTTTGGCCTCTCTTTAGATAAAAAAAAAATTAATTAATTAAATTTTTGTCTGCCAAATTACAAAGTAAATAATTTTCCACAATGAATTTATAATATAAAAATTGTAATTAAGCAAGTAATTCTGGATACTTCTTTTTTTTTTTCCGCCAAGTAATTCTATATAGTTAAAAAAACAGTTTTACTTTCAAAACTCTGGTAATTGGGCAAGTCTTTTCTCCACAAAAAGTGATGGCCCAAGGAAGGCCCAAGACTTCAACAAGACTAGTATGTTAAGCAAACCGAACCCGAACACAGCCATGGAAGTATACTCAAAAAGTAAAATCGAAAGGTCCAGTCTCCTTTAAAGATATCTCGTCGAAACTGATGTGCCATGATTCTCCCTTTTTTCCCCCTTATGAGAGTACACGTGTCTGAGTTGTATCAACATAACCAAAGATTTCCATCAAGTTGGAGTCTTGTGAATGCAACAATATTAAATATTTGGTGGTGCAGTTTTGCTGCCTTCTCTAACCATGATAAACTTAATTTGGATTATAAATCTTTCAATTAAAAACAATCTGTATTATAAACTTTCAATAATAAATAAGTAAAAGATATATTTTTATTTCTTAATATGTTCTTATAATTTTTGACCAAAACAAAGTTCTTATAATAAATAAGAAAAATATTGAAAAATAATGCATGGGAAAATATGATTGAAAAAGAGAGTGTGACAAATAAGAGAAAATAAACAATTGTGCAGCTCTACTATCTTGTCGCTAAATTGTGCTTGCCAATAACAAAAATCCTCTTAGCCTGTGTCCATTTGATATCAACTATTTTAATTTTCTAATTACATGTAAAAAAGTAATGTGACTAACTACCGGATAAAGAAAACACATATTTTTTTTTTAAAATTAATATTTATTTAAAAATATAATTATACTACATGTTTGAGTTCAAACTTACAAAAATTTGAAGTCTTTAGCCTAGTTAATTCTTCCATAATGAAACATAAATGGACCACTGCCCTTTCTATTCCTATATAAATATATTAAAATAGTATTTTAAATTTACTGTAAAATAACATGTAGATCACCCTCCCCCTCTACGTTTTGAGGTGGAAAGTGATGATGGACAATAGGCTTGGTTAGCCTGGACTTGTATCTTGTCTCCTTTTATTTGTTTCTCAGCTATCATTCAAAAAAAATGCAGATTTGAAAGTGTCGTCTCTACCCATATTTCCAAGTCAGTATTCTTATTCTTTCAATTTTGGAATGAAGTGTCACTCTCATGGTGGATACAAACATAGTGAAAAAAAAAGAATCATGAAACCTTTCTCACGGTATGACAATTTCAAGATTGTCGAGAGAAAATGACTTTAATTCTCCTAGGAAGAGTATTTCGCAATTTATACATATTGATGATGATTTTAAAATTTAATTTTATTAACTATAAAAATAAGCCATCACACAAGTATTTCATAATAAGTCATGCATCCTAAAATTATATATATTTATATTATACATCTAATTTTGCGTACGTTTTCTTTAATTTCTCCCAAAGTTAGCTTTTAACTCTTATAATAATAAGAACATATGGAACCAAAATTGTTATAATATCATTAATGAAGTCAACTGTGAAAGTTCTCAAGAAAGAGTCTCTCACACGGCCTAATATATCTACCCCTGTGCATTTATAGTCTCTATTATAATTTTCGTCCGATAAAATTATGTGCTGTTATGCATTCCAGGTACGCAAATTCTTAACCGAAACGTTACGGCGTAAAGATAAGACGGTTCAAAATCTTACGTTTTAGGAAATCGTAATCATCACCACGTTTTCAAGAAGCTTTAACAGAGACCATGAAAAGGTAGGGAAGTGGCATTCTACATGACTAAAGACATTGGCCTTGGTTCAACAAGTCAATCTAATTAACAGAGTCTGACGACCAAGCTCAGTGGTCTCTTCATAGGTTTCTCAAAGGAACCTGGGACTGTGTAGTATAAGTTCTCATTTATTGTGTTTGATCCTTATTTTATCAAGAAAGTCGATATTTCAAGACTAAATTTTCAATCTCATATGGGCACATACTCAGCAGGATAAGAAGTCTCAAACAGAGATTAAGGTCTGAGTACCATGGCGTGTCAAGACTGCAGGCACGAGCAATACGGGAGGAAGCAGTATGGACTAGCCCGTTTTACATCATCTGTGCTCCACATTGAACGGTCATCTACGAAAGAGGAATACGTCAGAATCCATTATATTTATCACCACTCCATTTTCGACACCTAAGAGGATGCTCAATGCAGGTTAGACTAGACTTGTGAAGACTATGACATTGCAGAGGGAGCTAACTTCTTGATCTTGCCGCTTCCAACATGGTAGCTTTCAGAGCTTAAACGGCAATCACGGAAGCAATGAAAGCATTTGGAAAAATATAAATGAGCAAAGCAAAGGGTTCAGAGATAACAAGAGAGAGAGAGAGAGTGTGTGTGTGTACAAAATACGGCAGGGACGGAGAATCGGGCGGCCATGGTTGGTTCGGTGATCATCATCGTCAGGCGTTCAAATAGTGAAGAGTATGATATTATCCACAAGCATTTTCAGTTCCAGGGGAAGAGTGCGGGAGGATGAGGCACTCTTGGCTTTGTTCGGCTATGATCCTGTACAGCGGCCCACACTCTATCCGGAGGCCTCTCCTAATCTGATTGGCGCATCATCAAAGCCGAATATCCTTTTCTTAATAACTTTATATCCAAAAGGCAAATTAATGCAGTACTGTGCTACCAACCCTTTTAGAACTGGACCAGTCACTGGACTAGCAGCGGCACCGCTTGTTGGTAAAATCGGTCTCACTTAAAATAATATAATTTAAAATTATGTACAAAATAATAAAAATATTATAGACAATATTTATCTATATTTTCCTATGATAAATCACAAAAAATTACAAACTATTAAAATCATCAAATATCTCATATTAATGAAAAACCTTATCGGATTTGAATGAAGTTGTAGGGGGGGGAAAAAGGCTTATAAGAAACTTTCTCCTCCCATCTCGCTCATAAATTAAAGATGAGGATACGTTGGATTGTTACAAAAATTAAGTGAGAATGATGCCAGACAAAAGTTCATTATTTAACAAAAAGCTAATATTTTCTGAGAGTTGATCTAGTCCGCTCCCTAGAATTTGAAATCAGTAAAATACTGTTCCAGAAATTAAAAAAAAATTAAACAGATTAAAATGAAGTCAAATTTTAATATTGTAATTGTTCCTCCTTGAAAAATATGAAATTTTTTGAATTATTTACAATTTTAATCAATTCTATGTAAGATTTTATATTAATCAAGTTAATGAAATGTGCGCATGTGCGTGTCCAATCACTTTATAATTCTAAAGAACATATGCTCTGAATTTACCCGTGGAATCAAGGTTAAAAAAAAAAAAGAATTTATCCGTGTAAGAATTTAAAACAAAATATTCCCCCAGTTTTAATATAAGACCTATTTAATTAATTTGATTAGATTAAGAAAGTTAGATAACTTAGTTAACTATAAGAAATATGATATGGTTTTCCTAAAACACCATAATCATCATTATTAATATTCTTCCACTATCTTCTACTTAATTATAGTTGACAGAGTATCTATAAGGATAATTTATAAAAAAATTAATAAATATGAGAAATAAATCTTATATTTAAGATTAAAATCAACTTAATAATTAGGTTTTCTATTAAAAACCAGAAGAGTATATACTAAAAGGTCAGGCACGTTGTTGATGGGGGAACATGCACTTTGGAATTTCCAAGTCCACGTCCAAAACGTCAAAGTCTTCCACTGCACTTTGGAATTTCCAAGTCCACGTCCAAAATGTCAAAGTCTTCCACTTGAAGAGGAAGAAGCACGCAAATGACACTTTTCGTATGGCGTTAGGTGCAAATCAACTTTCAAAAGTATGAGCACTAATACAACTTCTTATTCAGTAAAAGTATATTTTGAATACAGATTATATATAATTCATAATTGTTTCTAATACTGCTTAAATTTTGGGAACACGCAGATGTTTTTGTTAGATAAATGAAGAGCTTGAGTCTTTCGCCTCGCTGAAATATGTCAACTTTATTTTCAATTTTGTCAGATATTAGAATTAGAATTTAATCTAAATGCAAAGTTTAGTTCGAAACTCAAGTTTCCAAATCAAATTTTGAACGCCTCTTTCATTTTGGAAGTCTTTGAAGTCTCTCTGACGACAACTCTGCTTTCTTCTTTGGATCTTGACTAATTTAATTTGCTATTACATGTAAAAACAAAAGTAATGTTACTACCAGAAAAAGAAAACACACAACAGATTTTAAAAAATTAATATTTTCTAAAAAAAATAGAACTATAATGTCCGTTTAAGTTCAAATTTTAACAATTTAAAGTCTTTAGCCTTGCTATTTTTAAAACTGGAATGTAAAAATGGATCACTGCACTCTCCAATATCAATATATATAGTATTTTAAATTCATCGTCTTGTATATTGGAAGTCATGTGTCCTCCAATATTTCAAAGTCGTATATTCTTTGGCAAAAGATAAAAGTCCATATATTCTTATTCCTTCAATTTTGGAATGAAGTGTCACTCTCATGGTGGATAAAAACACTATGGAAGAAAATGAAACTGTGTGGAAATTTACTATGCAATAATACAAAGGGTAATTCTCGTGCTGGCAACCAATACTTTGTCTCTGTTTTTAGTCACTATTAAGTTAGAATGATATATATGGTGTAGCAAACAATTCCAAATCATTCATATATCCAAATCTCTTTGTTTATTTATTCAAGATCTTGGATTTAAAAAATTTAAAGCCTATTATATATAATTTTGAATTTATATTGAGAGTCTGTATATCCTCCGATACTATCATGAAGACAACAAAATCTTGCCTATAAATACATGGCCTTTGTGGTGCCTGTTCTCTCGCATAGCAAACTGCATCATAACCTTATATCCACAGCGTAAGGATGGTAGATATGAGGTTTGTTGTTGCTTGCCTACTGCTTTTAGTGCATTATTCTTGCGGGACACTCACAGTTGGCAACACTACTGTCAAGTGCAGAGTCAAGGAACGGCTCTCCCTTCTTTCTCTCAAACGTGGCTTTGTTGATCCCGATGGCTGCCTCGCTTCCTGGGGAAGTTCAGAGAACCACACAGATTGTTGCACATGGCATGGTGTTTCCTGTGACAGCCGAACGGGCCATGTGGATGCACTTGATCTTTCTGGCTGCGATTTGGAAGGTACAATTTCTCCGTCATTGGCTAAATTGCATCATTTGACTAATTTGGACCTTAGCTTCCAAAATTTCTCTCCGGCTAAATTCCCAGACTCCATTCTTTCTTTAAAGAGATTGCAATATCTCGATCTCTCCTTCACAAATTTGACAGGAAACATTCCTCCCAATTTGGGATATCTGTCTCGCTTGCAAACACTTCGCCTTAAGGAAAACCAGCTTGAAGGTGGCATACCCAAATCCTTGGCTTTATGCCACTTAACAGAGTTGGATCTATCTCAAAACTCCTTGAGTGGGCAATTAGATGACTTTGTTGCATCCTTCAACCACTGTGCCAACACATCACTACTGATCTTAGATTTATCTTATAATCGGTTTACGGGGTCGGTACCTAATTTCTCACGGTTCTCACTTTTGGAAATATTATCTCTCTCCAACAATCAACTCAATGGAACTGTAAATGATGGCATTGGATTATTGTCAAAGCTAACTGAGTTAGAACTTGCTACTAATTTCTTGCACGGTGTCATAACTGAAACTCATTTCTCGAGGCTCTCTCTTCTAGAATCCTTGGACTTGTCTCTTAACAACTTGGAGTTTAAAGTCAGTCCTGATTGGATCCCCCCTTTTCAGTTATGGAACATTAATTTAAGATCATGTAAGTTAGGCCCCGGCTTTCCAAATTGGCTTCTAACTCAGAAGTGGGGTTGGTCATTAGATATTTCAAATGCTGAAATTTCTGGTATGATGCCAAGTTGGTTTTGGAATATTTCATTTCTATACGTGAAACTTTCACACAACCAAATGACTGGAGAAATACAAAATTTTCAACTCAAAAATGGTTGCCCTGCTTTGACTCTGGATTTGAGCTCAAATTTGTTCAAAGGCTCAATTCCATCAAAATTATCAGATGGTGCCTTGGCATTGTTTCTATCTGATAATAAATTCACAGATGCCAGTACTTTCTTATGTCCGAACGAGACCCTGCATTTAAAGATCTTACATCTCTCAAACAATCAACTATCAGGAATGCTTCCTAATTGTTGGAAATATTTTAAATCATTAGCCTTTCTTGATGTTGCAAACAATAGCCTATACGGAGAAATTCCAACATCAATGGGTTCATTGATAAATATACAATCCTTACATTTAGGATTCAATAAATTTTCAGGTGAGATACCTTTTTCTCTGCATAGATGCACGAAACTAGCGGTTTTTGATGCTGTCGGAAATGATTTTTCGGGATTAGTACCACACTGGATTGGGGATGGGCTTAGGGAGCTAAGCGTCCTCATTTTGAGATCCAACATGTTTTTTGGGAGCTTGCCGCTCAATATTTGTAATCTCCGTCAACTTCAGATCCTTGACCTTTCAATGAATAATATTTCTGGAAGTTTGCCAAAATGCCTCAACCATCTTTCCGCTTTGAAGAATCAAACAAATTTTGATGAAATATGGTATGCTTTTGCCAAAAGATCACTAGATGATATCCCAGTACTCTCCTCAAAAGAGGACATTGCAACACTGGTATGGAAAGGTAAGATGTCCAAATACCAAAGTATATTGAGATTAGTTAAAAGCATTGACCTCTCTTGCAACATGTTGATGGGAGAAATTCCAAGTGAACTGATGGATCTTGTTGAATTGGTTGCCTTAAACATTTCACGAAACATGCTCAGTGGACAAATCCCTGCCACCATTGGACAACTGAAGTCACTGGACTTTCTCGATTTGTCAAGGAACCACTTATCTGGACACATTCCTTCAGAACTTTCACAAGTGGATCGTCTTGGTGTGATGGATTTATCACACAACAATTTGTCGGGCGAAATTCCTCATGGCACTCAACTTCAGAGCTTTGATCCCTCTGCTTATGAGGGAAATGCTCATCTATGTGGTGCTCCGCTTCCAAAATGTCCCACAAGCCCAACACAAGACCATCCAAATGATGAGGATTCTGAAGAAGATGAACAAATTTTCTGTCGAGGTTTCTTTATCAGCTCGTCCATCGGATTTGGAACAGGATTTTGGGGAATTTGCAGCCTAATATTTCTGAACAAATCCTTCAGATATGCCTATTTCAGGTTAATGAGTGGCATACAGGACAAAGTGTACGTGATCGTTGCTGTAAATGTGGCCAAACTGCGCAGATGGAGAAGAGGTTCAATTTGAAGGTACGTAATTAGTATTTGTTTTCCATTTCTCGTGTTCATATATCGTTTTGTATTTTTTCTGCAAGGGAACTAATAATTTTGTTATAATATATTTTAAATACAGTCTTTGGGAGGGACTTGGGTGTTTTTATTTACAGAAAAAAACTTCAAAGACTAGAGTTTTCTTTCAGTTCAGAGAAGAAACAAAAAGCTAATGTTTTTAGCCTCTTAAAAATAAGTAAATGCACTATATATATATTTTCGAAGTATATTTTGAAGATTCTTCGGATCAATAAATAAGTGCTACATTTTTCTTATACAACAAGGGAAACCGATCGATAATGTTAAGGGCTTTCTTGCAAAGATTCAAGAAATAGGTATTTATATATGCTGAAAGTTAAATGTATATACTTTCTGCCTTTCTGGAACTATGTGTTACATTAGTTCACTATTTTTAAGCACTTTGACTTCGTTGACTAACAATTTACTTCTACTTTTAATCTATCGATATTGCAGTCCTTTACGTGGGGGAGCTAGCTGCTTCACGAGGTTGCCCTATACGGTTCTTCCATCTTCACCCGATGAATACTAAACTATAAGGCATTTGTTTTATCCATCTGCTGTATTAAACGAGCTAGTGTTTATGATAATTGTTCGAGCCTTTTATGTTCTAGTAGTTTGGTTTGCAAAATAAATAAATAATTGTACTGTAAAATCAGACACTTTTTCTTCGGAGTCAATATATTGACATGTGCTTGTTGTGTGGTTTAATTTGAGATATTGCTTTGAGCTTCAAATTAATGCACGATATAGGTAATAATAATTGTGAAAATTATCCTTGATGATCCTTCTGAGCACAAACTTATTGGTACGTGTTAATCTAATTAGGTGAGCTTAAATATTGAACATTCATTGCTTTGTCAGAAATAGGGTAGAGGGAGAATTTTTCTTCTTATTAAAGAGGTGGGGCTTATAAGTTATTATACATGAATAAACTACGTGAAGATCATGAAATCTAAGATAGATATATATATATATATATAAAAAAAAGTTGCAATGTAATTCTATTAGGGTATTTCCCATGCTTTTTATGTTATATATAAATAGATTTCACAAAAATATTTATAATTATTGTTGTATAGTTACAGATTTATTTGCACGTTTAGTTTTAATATTTTTGAAAAAATAATCCAAATTTTCACATCATTTCAATCAGATTGTATGACAATTAAAATGAAAAATTAAAATAAAAATAAAAATAAAAAGTATTAAATACAAATTATCCAAAGTTGATTTAGAAAATTAGTATTCGGCTCTCTCATGAATTATAGATTAATTCACTAATTTTAAATTTCCAAAATTTCCACAATAATTTAGGGAAACATGCACAAAAATTGCAAATAATGTAACAATGGGGAAGAATTGCCAAGATACTTGATGCCAGAATCCTATCCGGACTCAGTTTGCCATTTTCATTTTGGGTCGAAGCGTCACTCGTCACGCTCCCCTTGAACATGAGAGTGCAAATGTCAACACAGGGCCAAACGATGACACAGTGATCGGGTACGATGCAAATTATACTCTGCAAAATGTTCCTGCGCATGGTTGCACGGCCATTGATGGCCAAAGTGAAAGAGACAACAGGGGTTGTGGGCCTGGATGTGGTGCCGAACGCGCAAGAGGTTCTGATTGGTCTCTACACTAAGATTCTGTTTGTTACGAAGCATTAAGAATGAGAAATAGGGATAGAGATTGAAAATGCAAAACTATATTAAAAGGGTATTTAGTATAAGTAATTGTATGACACTTGGGATTAGACAAACCCATATACACTGCTAGAAAAAAGGCTTTTAACGGCAGTTATTAGTGGTTTTTCACGGCAGTTTTGGAGGCGAAATTGATACAGTTGACATTGAAAGATTTACAAGATACAACGGTTATGTAAAAAACTACCGTCGAATGTTTGATTTCCACGGCGGTTATTAACAAAACCACCATGAAAAGTTTAACTTTCAATAGTGGTTTAATTAATAACTGTCATTATAGTGTAATTTTCCACGGCTGTTTTTTACATAACCACTGTGGAAAAGAGTTTTAACAGGGATTATTTAAATAACCGCGGTTAAAATTTATTTTTTTATAAAAAATTCTACGTGATTTTCTTTTTTACCACCCTATAGTTTACAGTTCCAAATAAATATAAGCAATACAGAATACGTAGAATAAGGTCATATGAACAATTAATCAACTAGTTAGTTAATATATATAGCAAGCATTGAAATTTCTTTTAACATAGGCACAAAGCAAAAATAGGGAACCAAGAGAATTAAGGGAAACTTAAGACCAAAAAACATGTATAGGAACCAAGAGAACCAGCATCTTGAAAGAAAAGCAACTACTTCTGTCTGTACAATAGAAATAATGAACATGTATAGAAGGGAACCAAGATAAAATATCTAACAATGAATTTTTTGAGGAATGACCTAACTATTTGAAAGTTTCAACATTATGTAGCAATGTTGTTGACAAAGTGCCCCTCATCAAGTTGACGTCATCCACGGGATATGACGCAGCATTTTGAAATACTTGTTAATAAAAAATTACATAGTGAACTTAATCAAAAATGTGAAATGAATTGAAAAATATCATGCAATGTAACTTATTTTTACCTCGTCTAATTTCTCAGTCACTCCTATCTTAATGATGTCATTCATATAGCAGATGACATAATATCCACATTTAACATATCCTTGTTGACAACAGTACGAACAAAATAAAATATAAAATTGAATATTAGACATTATTGATTATAAACATTAACTTTAATTCATCTAAAAAGGTTTAAAAGTATATATTTAGCTCAAAACAACATAGCTTTGGGAGAATCCATGTTAGTGGTTGTCTATTTTGTTTAATCGCTACAACATTGAAACTATGAAAAGCCCTATCAACAGTATAAAAGAAAATGATATTAGAGCATGTTTTTATAAACTTCACATGTAATAAATATATAAATATAAACTAACATGTCGATGACATCTCTGGTTTCTTCGGATGGACTTACACAGAGAAAATCGAACCAACAAACTTTGTTATCAAAAGGGACATAAACAATTAGAGTCCAATGATAACTGCAAAATACAAACCATGTTAATTATAATCATACACATACAACTTGTGTATCTCAAATACAATAATACACTTACCCTTCCACGTAAGGTACAAAATATATTGGCTTTCTAGTCTGAGTCATTGTAGTCATCATGTAAATCGACCTCGCTTCCATAGTATTAAGCTCTTTCTGCACCTTTTGAGGACACATAAAACCATATGTTCTTTCAAGTTCTCCATTCCGACAGATTTGAGAGTAAAGTGCCTGTTGTTCAAATAAGAAACATTAGGACATGTATAAAGTATAACATGAAATAAAAAAAATGATATTGTAACTTACAAAATAGCAAGCTGCATGAAGACTATATTAAGCTCCTCAAAGTTGAGGAATTGAACGAGATCCTTCTTGTCAATGGTGAAGTTGTATGTTATATCTGAACCCACAATCCCCAACGGCATCTTGAAAGTAACAGGCTTATCTATGTTTGGCACTACGGAATGAAGAACCTCCAAACTGGAATACATAAGTGCAACATCACCAGGAAGAGGTAGGAGTACAGGATCTGATGATGCGCTCTTTGTGACTTTCTTCATTGCCACCTTCTTCACCACTAGGTTTGCAATAAGTCTCTTTGACCACAAAATGAAATGTCCTTTAACTTGGACCAATAGTCGAACCTCATTAGTAGGATTGGGCACTGGTGTACCGCCCTGACCATGAAGAATCCTCTCTACTGTCACCCTTGCTTGATGGCTCAAAATTTTCTTGCCGTGAATCGTTGTGCCCATGAATGCTTGACCATTAGCGACATGAATAGGTGAATTTTCATAATCCACATAGAGAGTACACAACATTCCATTGTTTTTGACAGGGTCAAGGCTAGAGTCAGGGTCAGACACTGTTAGTTGCTGTGTCTTATTATTACTACCCTTCCTGCTTTTTATCACAAGTGACCCCTGAAACATAATATAAAATTAGTTAAGGCACATTAAATAAGTTTAAATGGATCAGATAAACCTTTAGAAGATTTGAAAAGGTGTGTGATTATTACCTGGGAAGGTTTAGATACTCGGGGCATCTGGAATCCGCTCGTGCCCATCATCATCATAGCCTGTTGAAACTTGGCATCGAATTCGTCACATATCTTTTGCATCTCTACCATGTGTTGTTCACTGAGTTCGACTCAAATTCTCTATGTTTCTTCCTGTAATCATTAGTCAAGCCCCTTTTTAAATACCATATTAGCGGAGGATGATCCAGTGCTTCTTTGTGAAGCAGAGCTAAAAAATTGTTTAATACCAATTCCTTTAGGGGTCCCTCTGACTCTGCAGGGATGGTCAGCCTTTTCGATGGCAGTGGCTAAGATATCCATCCGTCCTTGAGGGACGAATGTACCTTGGGATAATTGCTCCTCAAGTGTATCCGTAACATTAAAGCAATAAATTCAATTTAGACAATTGAAAAAAGCAATTAATGAAGCATAATTCTTAAATATAAAGCAATTAATGAAGTATAATTCTTAAATATTACTTACAATCCTCTCTGCAACAGCAGCAGACTGTGGAGTAATGTATTGACCCTTTTTAATCCTCGCTGCCTTCTATCTTTCTTAGCGAGAAGGACGCTCAATGGGTGGAATGTAGCTAGTAGGATCTAAAGTAGTAGCCTTCTGTGCATTCTTCATCCACTCCTCCATCATATTTTTTTCCAACCCACCATACCCTGCACGAGACATTGTATGTGGTTACACATTCTGCTCAGATATTTGTTTGTTCTTCTGACTCAATGCCTATGACAATAAAACAAATTCGACAAAGTTAGTTTAGTTAAATAAAATATGACCTGATTAAAAACTAAGTTTGAAGAAACCAAACCTAAAATGCAGGGTCTTCACATTGCTTCACAAAACTCTCCCATGCCTCGTCACTAATAAATGAGTGCCTTCCTTACTCATCCTTCTTTTTCTATGAATATATCCTTCCACCATTCATCAAGTTGCTTAAATAGACGGTTTTTCATTTGCTCAATGGCGGG